TCACCATTTTTACACATATTGTGGGCATTTAGGAACCATTTTATAGGAATTTGGCGATTTTCTCAATTTTTCGTGTGTGTTAGCCCATGAATATTTTAGTGATTTTTCTTTCAGATGTTTTTTTGCAAAACTTTTATAGAACCCTCCGTAGGGAATTGGGGGTGCAGAACGTGAAGTCTCGTCATTTGTTACACATATTTTGGGCATTTAAGAGTCATGTTTAGGTATTAGGAGATTTTCTCAGTTTTTCGAGGGTTAACACCTATGATTATTTTGGTGATATTGCTTTCGGATGATTTTTTTTGTAAAACCTTCATAGACCCCTCCGTAGATAGTTGGGAGAGCAATACGTGAAGCCTCACTATTTTTTACACATATTTTGGACATTTAAGAGCCATTTTATAAGAATTAGGCTATTTTCTCAATTTTTCGTGTATGTTAGACCATAAATATTTTGGTGATATTGCTTTTGGATGATTTTTATAAAAAAAAACCTTTACAGAACCCTCCGTAGGGAGTTGGGAGACTAGTACGTGAAGCCTCACCGTTTTTTCCAGATATTTTGGGCATTTAGGAGCCATTATATAAGTATTAGGCGATTTTCCTCAGTTTTTCGTGTGTGTTACCCATGAATATTTTTGTGATATTGCTTCCGGATGATTTTTTTGTAAAACCTTTACAGAATCCTCTGCAAGGAGTTGGGGAGCAGTAGTGAAGCCTCACTATTTTTACACTTATTTTGGGCAATTAGGAGCCATTTTATAGGAAGTAGGTGATTTTCTCAGTTTATCGTGTGTGTTAACCCAAGAATATTTTGGTGATATTGCTTCTGGATGATTTTTCTGAAAAACCTTCAAAGAACCCTTAGTAGGGAGTTGGGGGAGCAGTACGTGAAGCCTCACCATTTTTTACAAATATTTTTGGCATTTAGGAGCTATTTTATAGGAATTAGGTGGTTTTCTCAGTTTTTCGTGTGTGTTAGCCCATGAATATTTTGGAGATATTGCTTCCGGACGATTTTTTTTTTGCAAAACCTTTATAGAACCCTCCGTAGGGAGTTGGGGGAGCAGTACGTGAAGCCTCACCATTACTTACACATATTTTGGGAATTTAGGAGTCATTTTATAGGAATTTGGCGATTTTCTCAGTTTTTCGTGTGTGTTGGTCAATGAATATTTTGGAGATTTTGCTTCCAGATGATTATTTTGCAAAACCTTTAGAGAACCCTCTGTACAGAACTGGGGGAAGCAGTACGTGAATCCTCACCATTTTTTACACATATTAGCCATTAGGAGTCATTTTATAGGTATTAGGCAATTTTCTCAGTTTTTCGTAACCCTCCGTAGGGAGTTGAGGGAGCACTACGTGAAGTCTTGCCATTTTTTACACATATTTTCGACATTTAGGAGTCATTTTATAGGTATTAGATGATTTTCTCAGTTTTTCGTATATGTGGCTCATAAATATCTTGGTGATATTGCTTCCGAATTATATAGACAATGAGCTTAATTTAATAGGTTAAAAATTAATGAACTAACTAATACATAGCAAAAATTCAAGATAATTTGTGTTTCGTGACATATTTTCCGTCTTTGCCAAAAAGGCTCTAGGGTCGCATCTAATATTCCTTTACATGATAGAATACTAGGTGGGGATAAAATCAGATATAAAATTATATAAAACTTAATTAAAAATGCTAACAGTAAGATTAGTCTATACATGATTTCTACTTACATGATTCAAATGGTTAATTAATAGCAAATTTTTAGTTGTTTAATTGTATTCTCGACATGTTTTCATGTTGAATTTTTTATATCTAATCGTTGGGGTAAGATTCAAAACCATAACTTATGTCAACTCTAATATTAGAGATATTATAAGTCTGGAGGAAGTAAAAGATGATCAAATAACACAACACAAAACTTTATTTAAAAAAACAACACACTAAAAATAAAAATAAAAAGAACAGAAGAAAATTGAACAAGCATATAAACTTAGACATAAAACCAAATAACTAGAAAAATTAAACAGAACGTCAACTTCAATTCCAATATGAATAATTTGAATTGCAGCTATATTGTCAGCACATAAAACTTAAACTTCTTCGTCTAACCAAAGATATCGAGAACAAAATCCTCTTCATCAGACTCTTCTTTCTCTTCCACTTTCTTTTCCTCCTCCTTCTCCGCCACCGCTGCAGCAGCAGCACCACCACTAGCTACCACAAGACCACCACCAGAAGGCACTGAAGCTAGCTTCTCTCTTCCGGCAGCAATAAGTTCAGCAAGGTCTCTTCCTTTGACTTGAGATAATAATAACTCAATTTTTGAATCATCAGCTTCCGCTCCGACGGAGGAGAGAATTGCTTTCAAATCCTCCGCCGTGGGATTGGTGTGTCCACCCAACACAGCCAACAAGTAGGTGGCGATCACCTTCATTTTTTTGAGTTTTTTTTTTTTTTGGACTTGGTGAAAACTTGGGAACAAAGAGTGGTTTAGGGTTTGGGGTTTTTGAGAATATATAGCGTTGTTTGGTGTTTTAAAGGTGTTTTTTTTTCTTTTTTTGGTTTTTTGGTGTACAAGTAACGTAAGTAATAATAATTCTTAAAGACAAAAATATAACCTTCATTATGTTAGGATAAAGATTTTTTCCTTTTTTTCTAATTTCATTACCAAAAATTAATGCAAGAAATTTCAAAAAGGGTTAGTATAATAGCACTTGTTTTTTTTTTAGAATGGTAACTTATAATAGCACTTTTGATCACTTGGTTATTGATAAATTCAATTTTAGTCCTTAAGATAAGCACATTTAGCGTTCATTTTCTTGATGTGCACTTTTTTACCCCTTTTTGCTTATAAATATTCATAAAAAATTTTAGAATTATTAATCGTTTCGCCATTTAATTACTCATGTGATATTCCTGAATGTTATTTCTAAAAAAATAATCCATAATAACATATTTTTTACATATGGGATGAAAAGAATGGTCGGGTTCAGTCTACGATAGCCAATGCATCTAATTTCAATGTGAATTTGAACATGAGTAATTTCTATATTCTTTTGGGATGAAATCTATATAATTAGAAACAATATAAAAAAAAGTAAAATAAATTGAAAATATGATTTTATTAAACCTTCCTTTTATACTAGAAATGGCTATGACCTATAATAAAGCTCATTATTTATTTGTTTTAAACATCAATTAGTAGAATATAGAGTATAAACTTTTGATTCTCATTCTTTTCGCCTTTTCCTCGTTGGCTCATATATTTCAAAACGTGGGCCAAAGAAGAAAATTATTTTGTATTCCAAAACTAAAGAGATTAGATTTTTTAACACCTAAGGATTCTGAAAAAAGTCATTTTCTTCTATTCAAATTATAAAAGGTCATTGAAGATCAATTTCCACCGAAAGTTCCAAATCATATTTTTTATTCCAATAATACAGCTACACTATTTACTAATAGCATATTTGCCTAAAAGCAGAGGCAATGCAAGGGAAGCATCTTATAATACCATTTGCTAATTAAAAAAGAGAGAAACTGTAACATGTATTACAACTTACACGTCAAAAGCAACATTTCCGTCGATGCCTTTGAATATAAAGTCACTTTGTCAATTGTCCTAAAGCAATAAAGAAGGATAGCTAAGCAAATCCATTCAAGCTCAAGGCCTAAGATACACTAGTAGAAATTTTTAAAGGATACAGTAGAAAAGAACTCAACATTATATAGTCCTAACAAGTAATAAGATAGCACAAAACGGATGACCGGGAGAAGCAAAACCAAATCAGGGTAACTGCCTAATTTATGTGTTAATTTTCCTTTTATTGAGCCGTCAAGCAAGTCGGCCTTCACCATATTTCTGCTCTAGCATGGCTACTAGAGCAAAAAGAAACTAAATGAAAGGAGATAAAACAGAGGTGAATACACTTGCAATGAAGATATTTGTTTCCCGATAGCAGATGATGATCTTGATCTTTGACGAGCACCCACATTTGGAGTAATAGGAACTATTCGTGCTCTCCTTTTAATCTGGACATTAATATCTTGAGTTTTAGGACAACATAGTTGCCCCTCCTCCAGTGGTGGAGTTTGGCTTGGAGGCTTGAAAGTGGATGGTGGAATGTCAGTAGAAGCAGAGGTTTTGCAGTATTGGAACAATAAAAGAGTTGCTAATAATGAGAGAACCAGTATGGTTTTGGCTTGAATCATGTCTACTATGCAAGAATTAGATAGAGAGATGATGTACAATGTAGTAGCTAGGAGCAAGTTTGGTTAAATGCAAGTCGAGAAGGACGCTATATATCTAGCAAAAAGCAGAAGTGTATCCAATACAATACACCTTTTTTGCATCTTTCAAATATATAACGAACTTTTTGGTATTAGTAATCCATCAAAAACAGGAGAAAGTTTTAAGGGCTGAGTAATCACCCTTCAAAATGTAGTTTGAAAAATGAACAAGGTGGGGTCAGGGACAACTCTAAAGTTGGGAAAGACAATAGGTGGTACTAAAATATGAACTCTTTGTTTATAAGTAAACTTATCTGATTCAGATTCCCGCCACCCTCAATATCACAAAGAAAAGTGAAGAAAATGAGAAAAGAACATGTCTGGATTAAACTACGAAGAGCTAGAAGTCAAACCGTCCAACAACCTCATTTATGCAAGATCTCAACTACGACAAGGAATATGAAAAATAGTGATGCCACGGGAAGTCAAAGATTTGCTTAAGCTGACAATTTGGTGGAACATATTTCAACCAGGAATCTGGTTCCACAAAAAGAGATGTGGGATTTTGTTCCAACTTTCGGCACACGATGGTGTGCTAATGTCATGTAGATTTTGTTCAATAGGTGGATTTTACTATTTACATGCTGTTTCATATTTTCACATTTAAAGAGCATCTTTCACTTTAAAAGAACTTTGATCTTTGATGCTCTGGGAATTAATTAATTAACCAAGAACTCTTGAATTTTAAGTAAAAAAGCATTTGCGATGACACAGCTGAATTTTCTATGCACAAGAAAAGAAGATTTGTGTTGAAAGCAAGCTACTTACAGTTCACAAGGGAAAAGCTGCAGGTCAGTGCTTAGCTAAACAAGTTCTCAAGAATCTGTGGGTTTAGCTTTTGCAGAAATGACAACTGTCCCACTTGCTTGGCCACAACTCCGATTACACGATCTATGTACAGGACATAAAGAGAATTCCTGTTTTCTAGAAGTTCCAATGTTTTTCTTCCGTGGAGAATTGATACAACCCATTCTTCAAAAAGCCCTACAGAGTAAATACAAACGTATGGATATTGTCAGGTCCGTTTCCATCATTAACAGTATTAAAAATAACCTTCACCAGATAGGTCATTTATGGGAGCCTGCTAATTATCCTTGTGGGAATATATATCACATGCAGTAATTTCCCTCCGACGGAGGCAGAACTCCTCAGACCCGATAGAAGGAGAGGAAATAGGTTATAGAGAGAGAAAATGTGTTATGTATCCAAGTGATTAGAAGAAGCTCACTTATGTCGAAATCTCCACCTTTTGACCAGGTTAACAAATAATCTGAAACCAGAAATTCAATAAGCTGAATCCTGCAATTGAGAACGTATATTAGACAATTTTAGTCTCCTTTTTATGGGTTATAGTTTCAAGAAGATTCATAAAGAAATGAAGAAATTAAAAGAAGTAAATTGTGGATGCAGTAAAAAGCAAATACTAGGCAGTAAACTGTATGCCACATTATTCCTACAGCCCCTTCCAGACAGAAATCTAGCAAGCTTAAGCTATGGTTCCAAATGTGAAGTTTAAACACAACTCCGGTGATAAACCTTGAGGTACATGAACATCCCCAAGTTAACTAAGTAATCTGGCAATTCAGGCAGCATAATTTACTTTTTGTGTCTGAAGCAGGCACAGCCTCTGATCACTTAATTATTGCAGCGTTTCAAGCAATGAATAACTATTTACACTAAAGAAAAGGGGAGCACACACCAAGTAATCCTGCAGCTAAAACCGCCATTTAAAATAAAAAAAGAGATTGTGAAGATGATCGCAAAATATAGTAGTGATCACTCCACTAGAGGATACTAGAAGCAAATGATGACAATACCACATACAGACAACCATTTCAAACTTTATGTTAGCGTAACTGACAAAAGAAAGAACGGAACAGCCAACTCGAAGTAAATGTCATACTCCCCATAGGAACTCCAAATTTCAAGGAACAAATTCCAATCCTCAGATTAAAAACACCTTCAAATCGGGAAGTCTGGAGGGACAAGCGGTCTAATATAAAAATTACAGTGTTTTCAAACCTCTAAACAAGAAACACAAAATAAAAAAATAGTATATGGAAAGATGAATTATGTCCATGTTGCGTGTTCGATTCTCCCTGGTGTGCCATCATTTTTTATGGCTTTTCCAGCAGTACTTGGGTTATTTAATAGTTAATACATATATCACCAGAAATATATGGGAAATTGGCTTGAAATTGGAAGATAATTAATTAACATAACATATGATTTTTTTTTTGTTTTTTTCATCATTAATATTTGCACAAGGAAAATATGTTATCATACACAAAGGAAAAGAAATTTCGTCAAGAGTAAGGACAAAAATAATGGACAGTCGAACCTCTTTATAACAAGACACTTGTTCCGACATTTTTTGGCAGCTATAGTGAAATATTGTTATAGAGAACATACAATATAACATAACATGAAAGATTAGTTTCATGTAACAAATGGTTGTTATAGTGAAATGTCGTTATAGAGGATAGTTATAGAGAAGTCAGATTGTTCATCCCATTATTACCAGCATAGAAACAAATTTCAATGACTGAAGGAAGACAGCATTTAACAAACAAGAAGCCAGGCTTATAGCCTAGAGGTACCAGTTGGGATCTCCCACAATATGTATGGGTTTGACTCCCACTGCCCCCTTCTCCCTTCTGTTTCCCTTCTGCAGCCCTCTATTATGTGATAAGAAAGTTAGAAACAACTACAAAACAGAAGCATAAAAGAACAATAAAGCCAGATAATTAAAGACAACTTTATACAAGCTGGTGGGACTTACATCATGTACATAGAATTATGCATACTTGGAAAGGCATCATCAAATGGATCCATGAAAAGCAAACTTTCTGCCATTGCAGAAATCCTTTGAGAAACTGCAAATATTAGACACTGGCCGACAAAAGCCTCATTTCCGACCTTACGCATCAAATGTTGAATATAGAACTGAACATCAGCGTCAAAGTGATGAGAGTCTGAATCATATCATTAGGGAATCAAGAGTTAAGAAGCCATATAGAAGGAAATATAAGTAAGTTACATTGAGGAATTTAATAATGAAAATGCTGCTGTCCAAGAGCAAAAATCACTTTAAATCGCTGTGAAGACTCATGATCCAACTAAACTAATAATCAGTCCAACGATAACAGGGTCACAAGGGTCTGTCCTCTTTTGATTTCAATGGTCTTTGCTTCTAACTATTCAATATAATCCATATTTTTAAACTAATAAGAATTAGATTCAATGAATCTTTCAGAATCATCATTACAATAGTTTGTTCCTTCATATATAAATAATTTATTCATAAATATTATTCAGCATCCATCCAAAAGAATTTACATGATCTATGTCGTGTGGAAACACCAATTTTTTTGTTTCTTCTGCAAAAAAATTTAAGGTGTCTTTCTACACTAAGAGATAGTTTCATCACAAATATTGCTTGCCTCTGTCCAAATTTATGATACTATATTTATTTTGACATGTCCAAAAACTTTCTACAATACTCTACCAAATATTATCTTTTATATAACCTCAATAAACTTTAAGAATTCAAATTTGTTTAATGATTTGTCCACTGCTTTACTGTTTTATTGCTACTATTTAGAATTTGTAAGTCAAATTAACAATGATGCATAAATGGGACGATCAGAGTATAATAAATCAAACATCCATTATTGTATAATAGGAGTAACTGATTTGTTTCCATTTAATACGTATCAAACCAAAGAACTTTTATCAGTATCATGCTGAAACCATTTCTTAGTTCTGTATATGCATATACTGGGACATATCTACCAAAATCTTTATAATTAATTGAACATGCTGGTTCTACCATTATTAAGGTAGGAGAAAATAAACTTCCGCAGTCTGCTAAGGTGAAGATAGTCTTCAAAAACCTAGTATGAATAAAAAGAAGATCACATTATTACCATCTCTATGCAAGGCACTGCACATTCTTCTCAATAAACGTATGATTAAACTGTTGATAATGCCTTCCACGGGCTCTCTGTTTCTTTCAGTTGGTGTCATTGTAGCCAGTGTACCTTTAAAGTAGTAAAATACAAATACTGCTGAATTTGGAAATCACTAAAGAAAGAAGAGTAGACAGCAATGAACCCATCTGGTGCTATCTTAATATTACAACTGAAATCTCAGAAATTTAGGCATTCTATGCAGTGAAATGGTTCGGTACTTGGAAAAAGGTGTTGACAAAGAAGGGTAAATCGTGAACCTTTTGCATTTTCGAGTAAAAATTAGAAAGCTTCATGTAAAATGGCAGCACAAATCATGAAGATGGTTCTCAAAGAGCAATCTTTCCTTGAAAACTCAAATCTTAGGATGAAGCTTCACTAGACAGTTTTTTTCCATTTAAGTTTCAGAACAGATAATACATTCACTTATTAACCCCTTGATTTCAGCTTCTATCACAATCCTCAACACTAGAAATTAGAATATAACCAGTACATCTGTGAAATCATTAAACGTGGGTGTATTACAAACAGAAAAGCATATCAGGAATTCAAGTTAAAAATTTCCAGATGTTGCTCATGAAAAAATTGTACACGTGAAGGCAAAAGGAAATGAAAATATTGTATCATTACCAAGAATAAAGTCCACGGCTTGGTGGCACCAGTTCTTAAAATTACCTTCCTCCAACTGTAACACATTTGGTACAAAAGCCAAGTGAGATGAGACAAACGATATTCATAGCATAAAACAAAGTGTCACTAGCTGGGGCTAATTGAAACAACATACACTTTGAGGAGAAATAGTGTCACAAAGCTCCAAAAGAAAATCAACTGAAGCACTCAGTTGCTCAACATTATTTTCATTGTCATGTTCTGCCATATAAGAAAAAACAATATTCATACTTCTCATCTATAGCTGAAAACTCATGTTAAGAAAATTTTGCCAAACATGACCTAGAGTCTTCCAGAGATAAAATTATGGCACATGTAAGATATGACATTTATCACAGCATGGCTGACGTATTATAAGATCTCAACTCAGTGTAACTTCTAAAAATCATCACTTTGCAAGTTAACCATCAAAAGTAAAGACAAAATTACATCCATAAGAAGATCTCTAACTGAACTTTCACCTGAAATGCGGTGAAGTAAGGAATCATCTGGTCTTCTCCTCTTTCTCTCCTTAATCCTCACTGGAAAAATATACAAGTAAATGAATTCAGCTAATGTATATGAAGGCCGAATTGACAACTTTAGACCAATAACTACAACAGCATTCCTAAAATGCAAACCTTGTCTGAGAAATCTTCTCCGCAACACATCACTGAACCGTTGGTCAGAACCAGCTCCAATTTTCTTAGGACTCAATAATCCCAACTTATCAAAGAAATAACACTTGCATGATGCACTTTTTGGAAATATATCACACTGTGAACCATCTTACTCCAGGAAAAAAAAAGGTACAAATAATCAAAACAAAATAGCCGATCAATGTGAATCTACCTATACAAACAACACAGTAGTAAATCAAAATCAAACACATAACAAAAAATCTTCAGGTTATTCTTCTTATCATTCAATTTTGATTACCATACATACATATTCACAAAATTTCGAGGTCAAAATATAGCAAGATAATCAGAAATGTAAAGCCTAGATGGTCATAACTACACATTGTTATTTTCCAATCGAATCCATCACATAATAATAGATCCTAAGGAAATTGCAGTGATCATCAAAAAATTTCAATATAAACATTTAAATAGAAATAAACTTAAACAATCTAGCATAAACTATAACGAAAATTAAAAAAACTAACCTTCGGCTACTTTGAGATCCTCCTTGAGCCTGAGAATTTCTCGTTTACGCTCTTTTGCCTAAAAAATGAAAGTTAAGTAACTGATAATAGAAATAGGAAATCGAAGAAATTAAAGGAAATTGATCGAACTTTTTGTTTCCATTTAACAGCATCATCGGAATGAGAAAGAGGCGCGCAGGAAGAAGAAGCTGCGGCGGCAGGTTGAGGAACGGCGGCGATGGAGGAAGAAGGCGGAGCCGGTGTTGCTGCCGGAGGCTTGTGGAGGAGCTTTGATCGGACGAGTGCCATTGCGATAGCGAGTTTGAACGATTCATCGGAGTGGCTCTTCGGTTGATCTCTCAAAATCTCCATTTCTCTCACAGTGGTAAATGGCGGGAGTTAGCTTGTTTATAAAACGTTACTCGCGTGAGTTTTTTTGGATTTTGGACTAAAAAGTATTTTTACTAAATATGTTTGCTTAGTTACGTAGTTTTCCCATAATATTTAAACGAAATTTAAACGTCTATTAATTTTGGAGTAACTTCACACATGCAGAGTTTAAAAATGACTAAACTTCATGTACATATGATCGTAATTCAAGCACAAAATAGTTAAACTAGTCATATTTCTCTAAAGTTCAAGTAAAAATAATAATTGAAGCAATTGTATGTGCTTACATGTCTAAAATTATTTTGAAATGAGTGTACTTATAATATTATAATATTTTAAGTATAACGGATATAACTTGAATGGTGGTACAATAATCCGAGTATTTATGCACTTCGATCGTTAAATATGGTGGCTCTATTTGAGAAAATAATTCCAGCATAAATTTTAGCATACAAAATAATACAAGTATTTAGTTGAACGAGTTGAAAACTATAATATTACATTAATATTAGGTGTTAGGTCAATCATACAAGAGAAAATGATACTGCATAACTAATGCATTGGTTATCGACATTAAATTGTACTCATATCAAAGGAGCACAACGAGGACACTCGATCGTTCTGAACCCCTTCTTACGATATGTCAAATAGAGCGGGAAATCAAGTAATAGCTCAGAAGGAATTTTGAGTGTGAGCTTACACACCTAAAGACTCAGTAAAATCCTACAAGGTAGGAAGAGGGTGGTGTACACAAACCTTACCCCTTATATTTGCAAGATAGAGATGTTGTTTTTCGAGTGTATAGAATACTGATGGAAGCAAAGATATGATGGAGAATTCAACCACTAGGAGTAGAACTTCAAGAACCCTTTTAAATCACAACATACTACTCAAAAGACAAAACAATAAGTATAGCAAATTATACATATACAAACACACAACAGCACCAGCATAAGATAAAACTTAAATGTGTCTGAATTTTCCTTCAAAAATGGTATATAAAGGCTCAAGGAGTTGAAGTATGAACTCAACAGATTTGACAAAACTTTTAATCCATCTAGTCAAAAGAGAGGAGATAAATAAATAACTAATGAAATACAAAATGAGGGCCTCTTTGCCTAGAGCAAATATAAAGTACACAATTAACCATCCTCAAAAGGCAAAATCTTTCTTTCAACATACTACTTTCACCTTGGGAAAAAAAAAATACAACTCACTTAAAAATCAACCTGCTCTCGACCATCCTGCGGTTCAGTTGCTCTAAACTCCATTGGACATCAACAAGAAATGCTGAAAAGTGAGTTTGAGTACATTCCATCTACTGAGGTTACAGAAAATCGATCTTCTCAAAGAGTTGATCGAGCTTTTATTGAAAGAGAGCTTTGCATGCCTCAACATCGGATGCTTGTGAATCCAATACTGCTTGGCCTGTAGGACTAGAGCTAATAGATCCCATTGTAGCTGTGAATACGTCTTTCTGGTATAGATCATCGGTTACCTTCTTCAAGATCTCATTGACCACCTTGAAGTCGAAAGCTCCAGCCAAAACTAGTCTAGATATTATGTCACCAAAATTTACCGGTGCTTTTGGTAGATCCATGGCAAGGTCATCCAGCAGAGAGGAAAAGTTCAAGAATCCAGTGACCAAGTCCCCAGCAGTAAAAACCTTCTTCACAAACAAGTATTCGAGAAGCTGTGCAACTGGTTCAACACATGGTGGGCTTTTGTCTAGACCAATTGATATTGCTTCTTTGACAACCTCAGAATGGTAGGCTGGGGATTTGAGCTCCTCAACACACTGCAAAGCTTCTTCCAGAAGCCTAACACTGAAATATTCCTCAAGAAGAGATGCTGTTTTTCTTTTTAGTACATCAGGTGTCGAACTTGCAGCAGGAGCCTGGGGTTTTGCAACAACTGGAGAAACAACAGTTGTTGAAGGTGGTCTAACCGGTCCAGGAACCTGTGATGCAGGGTTCATGCCAATACCATAGGCCGTAGGGTGAGCAGGAGGAGCACCACTACCTTGCAATAGGGCACTAGGCCTGCCACTCACGTAACCACCACTACCCTGAGGCAGAAGCTTTGGGTTCAATGCAGGCGACTTGCCAACCAATGGTGGCTGACTTCGTCCACCAGCCTGAACCAGTGGTCCATTACCTCTTGGCATAGAGCGGGATCTAGGAACTTCCCAGTTGTCATTATCCATCCCAGGTGTACCAGGCATCTTCCTAGTTCCGGGCATTCCAGGCATCATACCACCAGTGCCTGGCCGATTGATAGGGAAGCCACCAGGGCTCAAACTCCCTTGAGCCGGAGGACCACGAGAATTTCTCATGCTTGCAGTGGCACCAGGACGCAAGCCCAAGGTCTTTTCTGCTTCAGAATGAATCTCCGTGATGGTTTTTGCTTTCACCTGTGCAAAAAGGAAAGAATATTAAACCATAAGAGAGTACTCTAGGGAATGAACAGGCAACAAATCCAAGATAGAAAGAATGAATAAGGTGTCACCTCTTCCCGCCTAGGGACCCAGCTATTGGAACGTAAGTCCAGCACATTACGAACCATAAACCGCAGTCGGGGAGCCAACTGGGGGTTCGTTGATAGTTCCTTCAACCGATTAAAGTACACATCGTTGATGTGCCTTGATTTTTGGTTCTCATCAAGCTGCTTGCCAATGGTGTTGAAGAACTGACAGATGGCTTCAACGTTCTCTTCTTCCGGACAGCTTGTGGGATCTTGTCCTAATAGTTCCTGTTAACAAATCAGTAATTACATTCCAGTTTAATGCATTAAAGACAGCAATCAGTATGGAAAAAAAGACATGAGCAAAAGGAAACAATTACCAACCTGAACAATGTGGTGAACAATCTTTTCAGGGACCATCTTTTGCTTCAAAAGCTCGCCAATAAGCTTAATATTGCCAAGAGTCCGCAATTTGATCATCCTTTCTTTGTCCTTGCGTTCTGACTCCTGATCAGGGGCTGTCATTTGCCTCGCCTCTTCTCGCAGCTTGTGAGCACCTTCAAATGCCTCCTGACAGTTATTCAACAGAAGGCGCTTGAACGTAATCTCTTTGCCACCAGGTTCATCAGAGGGAAATGGAGGCAGCTTTTCATTAAGATCAGAACACAGTTGGGCATACATCGGGCAAAATGTTGGTTCCAACACAGCCTTGTCAAATATCAAGGAAATAACACCCTGAAAGTGAAGATAGAACACATTAAATTTCCAAGGTAAGGAAAAATTTGAGGTGAACAAAAGCACAACTAAAAAAGAGGTATGCCAGATAAAGGAAGACAGACCTTTAGGATGTCTGCACTTGTTATCCCTGAATCTATCAGTTGACCTTTGAGGAGATCAAACTTCTCTGGAGTCAGCTTGTTGAGGATACTATAATCAATATTAATTAAGATCAATGAGTTAAGATTAATCCATACGTTCAACTAATGCCACATGTAGCAGTCTCATGTGCAAGTGAAAACATATCAAAAGGAAGTTTTGTATTGCGCAGGTAGAGATATACAGACATCTAACAGAATACAATAAAGCAGCGAATAGGGGAAATCAAGAGATGGACAGGGAGACAGGGAGACAGAGAGATAATGAACAACAATTACGCATATATATTTTGACAAAATGCATAACTATTACAGAGAAAAAATTACCCCTTCACAGTCTTCCAGACACGAGCTTCGTCAGAAAGATTGCCTCTTCGAACTGACCATGGCAGCTCAGCTTTGACAAGTGTAGGAGCAGGTCCTCCCTAATTCACAGATAAAAATAAAGGTTTCTGAGATCAAGAACTGAAAATAGCTTCATATCAGATATAAGTGTGCTTTGAAAATCATAACAACAATGCCCTTTGCTATAACAGAGAAAAAATGGAAATAAATTACGTGAAGAAAAATAGACATCTCCTCTGATAAACTAGCTGCCTTTCAGAATTATCATCATAATTGAATGATCAAATGATATCACTAAAACCCCTTACACCTAAATTTATATTACTACAGCCCAATTACTGGAGTTCCTGATCCACCACTAAATTTTGGCAAGGTACTGTATACTGATTAACTTAACAACTTCTCTTCATTTCTCAACTCTCATTTTCAGTTGGGACTGAAGAATGTGTTGAAAAGGTGTCTTAGCAAAACTGCCAGATTTTTTTTTTTTTTGATAACCGAGAAATCCGTCTGTGACCCGCCCTTTGGACCAATCACAGCCTTCTAAACTCGATGGATAATGGGCCCATCCCTCTACCCTTCTCCACTTAAATACCTAGCAGAGGTTTCTTAAGATAGATATTGGATGTGTTCTGGATATAATACATAAGGCAATAGCTTAAGAATTATTGGATGTGTTCTGGATATAATACATAAGGCAATAGCTTAAGAATTACCCCTCGGTTGGGAGATATTTGAGTTCTTGCAAACTGTGAGTTAAGCTGTTCTTGCCGGCCACCAAATTCTCTGTTTTCTCGTAGAGTGTCCCATGATCTGTCCTCTGTGGGGGCAGAAAATTGTGATGACTTGCTACGCCAGTCACGGCTATCTGGCTCAGAATAACGAGTCTGAGATTGGACCTGCACCTGCAGACAAATAAATAAGACAACTTGTGGCAACAGAAATTCATAGTGCAAGTAACTATAAAGTACAGCATTCCCTCTCTGTTCACTCTGTGCAGGAGCAGTCATGTTGTGAGTGGGTGGGGTTCCTGACATCACAAAAATCATAAAGGGGAAGGAAGTACAACTATCTTAACAGATACTCACATTGGTGTCTGCACGACTTCGACTGCCATCTTCACCAAACAATTCAGATTCAACTTCTTGTTTGATTCGAAGGATATCATCAGAAATGGCAACCACCTAGACACAAACAATCAACCCAATGAAAAACTGCAAGAAGGAAGAAATTGAGGTTGCCATATACATAAGCCAAAACTTTAAGATACCACTCTTACCTCCCTCAGTTGCAGCAGCTGATCTCG